GGAAGTCCCCTCTGTGGTTCTTCCACACACGCACTCACTTCCCTCCCCCAGCCGTGTCTCCCCCGCACTTGCAGTCACTAACACAGAGAGACCTTGGAAGTGCACATGTACACTGTTCTGTGTGGAGACCAGAGGAAGAACACAGCAGGATCTGCACGAGTTCTGGGTGGGCATCTACAGAGGACTCAATTTATGGAAAGGGTGTGGACAGGTTGGGTAAAGAAACCTGGGTGTAAAAAAAAAAAAAAAAAAAAACCTTTATGGTTTCAATAGTACCTGGAATTTGGATTTTAATCATGACAGAAAAAATAAAAGGCAAAAATAAGGGACAGGCTGAATAGGTGTGTTATAGCTATTAGTGACAAATACTTATGGGGGCTGAGGATCGCATAAGCAAGCTTTATTCAGTCTGTGGATGGTGATTAGCAGCAGCCAAAGCACCAATCTGGAGGCTTTGTTCTCAGGGGTTTTTATACATTAGCAAGTTACTATGGCAACCACATTACTTCACTTTGGGATTTTCCCAAGAACGTCAGAAGGCTTACATTTCCCAGCCACCAGACTTACCTCTCCCAGGTGTCAGACAGGCGGGCAGGATGCATTTAAATTTTAGCTTACCCCACAGTTTGTCTCATTTGTTCCCCTGAGCTACCAACCTGTCCTTCCTCTGTGCATTTTATGGTTTCCTAAACAGGAAGGGTAAGGAGTGAACTCATGTAAAGTTTAAGAGACTTCTAAGATGGAGAACAGGAACAAAAATGGAGTCACTTTAGCAATGTCCGGTCCAATAATCAAACTTGAAATTACACTACTTGAATCAAATCCATAGTTGCTTTTAATTTGTGCAGCTAGGACTCCTCTTTCAAAACCACCATTTTTTCTAGATCTTTCCAACTAGACTGAGCTCTCTAAAGGGCAGGGTCCACATCTGACAGCTGGCCAAAAGGCAGATGCTTATAGTGAAAACTGACTCACACTTTGCAGAAGGTACAATGCCAGGGTGAATGTCTTCACCTTTTCCCATATTTTATATCATAGGACCCTTAGAAAAAGCCAGCGAAATCGACTTTCCTGAAAACCAAGAGGTGATTGACAGCAGCTAGCGTGATTTGGGGGACACTTGTCTTTGAAACTCCCTCCCAGAGATGCAGGTGTGTACAAACACATGGTCAGGTTTCATCATAGGACTACAATCTCAGTAGGCTGAGGATGAGTAACATCGGCAGCTTCACATAGATCCACATGGCACACTAAATGATCAGCTTTTTTTAATATTTAATTATTCACTCATCCCGAATGTGTTGAATTTACTATATGCCAGGATCTTTGTTCTGCTAAGTACAAAAAATTGAGGCAGGGTCCCTACCTGAAGGCACAGGGAAGATAGATGGCTCCACAGAATGAGAGATGACCGGAAGTCACCAAGTAAATGAGGGTGCAACTTGAGAAAATGTTATCGGGTGTGGGGGCCTAGTGGGAGGTACATCTTGACTTGTCCTGACTCATTCAGCAGAGTGGGAATTAGCCACCTGGAGAATGAAGTTTTGGATGTTTTTAGTAAAGTGAATAAGAATGGCAAAGATTCAGCAAGTCAGTAGTAAGTGCCAATGTGGCTGAGAAAATAGCTTTTGTTGCCCACCCCCAAAGCTGGCAGCCATCTTAAGCTACATCCAAAGAATATATAATCTAAGAAAAAGAACCCTGCAGAGTTGAAAATCAGCTGCCTCAATCCTAATCTGCATAGGCCCTAACTAGGTCTGGAGAGGCCATCCAGGAAATGATGTTTGCACATAAAGTTGGTACAGAAGGACAGGGAATGATCTAGTGTGTGCCACACTGAGAGTCCGTCACTGCTGGACTTGACTTCACCAATATATCTATCTCCTGCCTAAAAGTTGGTGTAGGATTAAACCTGAGATTATATACAAGGTTTATGTCAGGTGAGGAAACAGATATCCTGTTTAGTTTCTCCCCAGCCACATCTAACCTGAGAATTAGAGTTTGCTGATATTGGGGATCCTGTTTCCTGTGTTCACTTCTATTTCTCAGCCACCTGCTACAGTGCTTATATATATAAAACAGTCATTACTTTTTGGATGAATGAATTCACAGGTAAATGAGCAACTGTGAATGGTGGTGAGTAAATACTATTTTACTTATAATTACAGAAAGAATGAATGTCTTACTCAGCATCACCCACTGAAAATGCATTTAAGTTTGAACAGCCATTCAATTACATTGAGCAATTTCCCACTGTTGTTACAGAGGGGATCCAATTCATAGAAAAAAATTAATATGCTTATAAAAGCATAATTTCACCTGACAGTAAATGGCTTTCCTGCAAATCCTTCCTGACAACAGAAAAGTAAAAGTTCCCTAACACGGTAAAGAGTGACTTGCCTTTTCATTTCTGAGTACTGTTCCTTCCAGTTTAAAAGTGTGACATTTGCTTAAAAGATAAAACCCAGTCCCGTTCCAAGTAAATGACATCTGGACTGCTCTGCAAGGATGAGCCATTTTATTGGAATATAGGCACTTGGCAGAGGAAATACATGGTTACAAAGTGTTTTAAGTTTATTGGCTTTATATAGTGACCATAAAAATAAAACCACAGTGTAGCTTTTTTTTTTTAATCTTAAAGTTGCAGACTTCAGAAGACCAACCTCCAAACCCATCTATTTATGATAGAGTAAAAAGGTGTGTTACTTTTTCACTTAGTGCAACTATTATTTTTTGAGTCCGTGATGTCCTTCTCTTCCCCACCCTAAAATTGTCATGCAGAGTGTGTCACTTAGCACTTTTTCTGTGGTGCCTGCCTGAACCAAGAATTTGTCCATGCCAGCCAGAGCTCTCATAGTGCGCACCACCACGGCCCACCGAGCAGTTTTCTTCTAATGAACTATAATCACTTTTTCTGGAAGAATGATTTAAAACCCTTTGAAATCACTGTTTCTCATCTGGAGAATTACAAATCCAGATTTATAAGTCCTTCAATAAAATGTAGAATATCTAACGAAGAGCTTCACATATAGCTACTTTATAAAGTTTTTGGATAACAGAATCTTAGCCTCAATCTCCAAAATACTTTAAAAAAAAATTACTGTGCATAATGAAAAGCACTATCGACTGCTCCAAGCGAAAACTGGCAAGCTATTTTTTTTTTTTAACAGAAAATACTTTTTGTGAAAGGTCACTAATAACATACCTGGTATATTATTTATTTATTTATTTATTTGGTACAGGGTCTTGTTATGTAGCTCAACCTCATAGTGATCCTCCTGTCTCAGCCTCCCAGCACTAGGCTTACAGGTGTGCACCACTATGCTTAGTTTCAATAACTGGCTGAGCATGGGGCCAGCACACCATGCAGTACCAGGGATCGAACCCAGGTCCTTGCGCTTGTCAGGCAGACACTTAGACCGTCCAGCCCCCACACTTGGTTTAAAGTCATGAGGGTTTTGCCTTATATCCTGAGATTTTGTGTGTGTCTAAAGATTATGCCCATAGCAGAGATCCCCAGAGCAGGGCACTGCTGACTTTTTGTGCTGCTCATTCAAATCAAAATGACCTTGCTCATAATGGAAACCACTAAAGCAACACGTACAAATCTATGAGAAGGACAAAACATGGTAACATGAAGTTACCCTTTCAGCATAGTTACACAGATAGGCAATATCTCATGCACCGCAATTTCATTCTCCATCTTCAAGTGCAGCAATAGTCTTGCTTTCGTGAAATAATGTCTGTGTCAAACCTGTATAACAAAAGTTTTTGATTGTGTCATCGTTCTGCTACATACTGCCTAGTTCAGAGTGGATGAAGGGTACTAGTATTCACTCATCTATTGCATGAAATGAACTCTCTTAGCACTGGAAAGGCTCCTAGCTGGCCAAGGGGTACAAGCATTGGGGTGAGCAAAGGAGGGAGGCCGGGGTGCTCTGGAATAGGGCTGGGCCTGACCTGGGTCTCCAAATAGCCACAGTTCTCCGAGCAAGAAGGGCAGGTCTTGCAGGGCTGACTGCTGATTCTTTGGCTCCGTGCCTTGCTGGGCAGAGCTTCTGGCCATCTGCCTTTTGGACTCTGGACTTCAAGGGAAAACTCAGCAGGGGCAGAAAGCTGAATGAAAACATCCCCCTGCCTAACAGCATGCCCCAGATAGCCTCTGCACAGCAGTGTGCGGGGTGTTCGGTGCCTGCCCTTCCTGAGCACCCCGTGCACCAGTTCCAGTACTACAATAGGGATATTAAGGTGACCCGACATACAGGAAGCCATGACTCAAGGGTGTGGACTTTTAGCAGGAAGCACAAATGATGCCTAAACCTGAATTTTAGTCTTTGAAGAAAGGAGCTTCGAGGAGAGCCAGGAAGTAAACATAATTTCAATACATCATAGTAAACGTCAGGATATGAGTATTGGCTAAACAGGGACCAAGGGAGAAATTATCTCTACCTTCCTTAATTATGATGGGATCTTTTACACACCTCAGGGTCTAACCACTAAGAAAAGCTGAGGCAATTCAACATAAAACTATACTGATACTGATTATTATGAAATTCTTCATGAAAGGAAATATTTTATTTCCTGGTTAAATGGTTGAACTGTGGAATGAACTCTACATAAAGAACTAATGTAAGTATGTTTGGTGGTGATAATCAAAATAAGTGCATACACAATATGTTGGACTGTAATACTAAAATTTGTGAAGGGAAACTTCAAGATATAGTACCTGGAGCTGAAACTCTCAGGGAATAATCTAGTGTTTTTCTAAAGAACTACCTTTTTCTAGATTTCTGCAAGTAATTCCATTCCTTTTTTTTTTTTTTTTTTTTGGTATGTAGGACAAGGTCTACAGGGTCTTACTACATAAATTGGATTCATAGTGATTCTCTTGTGTTCAGCCTCCCAGGTGTTAGGATTACAGGTGCGTGCCACCACGCCCAGTCTCAACTGCCATCTCAGCGCGCCCCAGGGGCAGGGCCGGCATGTCACACTGAGGATCAAACCCTGGCGGCTGCCCTCTGCCTAAGCAGGCGCTTTAGTCTGCTGAGCTATCAGGCCGGCCTTCCATTCCATTTTTGACATTAACAGTTACATCTTACTATCCATTTAGAAAACACATTTCTATTTCCTTTCAGGAAGAAAAGAACTGTCATTCAGACTATCACCAGTGGTTGGTACCTAGCAGGGACTCACTTAATTTGCTGAATGACCAAACAAACGATTTCTAATTTTTGTGACACTAGGAGCTTGGTGGTCTACGCCTTGGCTTTTGTATTCATGTATTCATTCATTCATTCTGTATCTGAGAATAAACCAGGACTGTCTGGGGTTTGGGGGAGACTATCATGGTTCAAAAATTGGCATGATTTCTTCTTCTAAATTCTCATGGGCCTTTTGATTTACATAAGACAAATCACTTTTTTTTCTTTTTCTTTATTACTATGCTGAATACAGTCTGTAGCATGCAGTACCTATTCAAATAAAGTTTGTTTAATTGGTTGGCTTTAGGCTTGATTATTTAGCTGAGCTCTTTGCAGTCTAAGACTAATTTGGAATGCTTTCAGGCTTATACTTGCCAATACAATTTCCTTGCCTCATCTGAATCTCCTTAAAAGGTGATTAATTGATAAAAATCAACACGTTAGTTAACAAGAAATTGATAGCAGAATTAGTAACAGTCCCATAGACCACAGCTTTTCCTCCCGTGGTTTCTACTCAGTTTCTCCCAAGATCTACACTGGGTATGAATGGCTCTGTGGGCTGCACACATCAGGGGTGACTGGTGCTTATGGCCTTCCCCTGCCTGCAGCCTGACTAGGCACAAATGCTGAGTCCTTAAGAGGGCAGGAGGTGGATAGAGCAAATAGTGAGGCAGAAATTGCAGTATACATTTACATTCTTACAAAACATTAAAAAGCCTTAAAGTGCAGTAGAAAATTGCACCACTGAAACATGTGGAACATCGAGAACTGTGCCCCTGCTGCGTTCAGTCTCCGATATATCACTGCTGCTTCTCTCGGGCCCCTCCAGCTCCCCGTCGCCCCAACACGCCCGTGCCTTTGTGATTCCTGTGAAAATGCTAAAGCAGTAAGGGATGGTGAGGCAGTTCAGTTCCACAAAGCTTGGCCTCTGTGCTCGTAGCCTGTGTGCATTTCCTCTCGCTTCATTATTCAGATTAAAGAAATATTTCACAATTTTTTTTTTCAGGCAAATCACATGCAACTCCCACATAGACCCATCATTATAATCCTATGACTTTGTTCAAAGAAAGACTTTCCAAACTGTGCCTATTATCACTCCTCTGAGGGCTGCTCTGGGGAGCTCTCCTGACAACTTTCTCCCTCCTTCGCATCATCTTGAAGTGAATGTAGGGCATCTGTGTTGGGAGCATTCTCAACCACCCACTGACACTCAAAAACAGGCGAAGGATTAACAGCCTCTGTATCCACACTGGTCATAGTCGGGGCCATCACACTTCGCCCTTCTGTTGCTTCTTGTTCCTCAGGAACCTGGCTCTCCCTGGAACAGATGGGGTCAGAATGGAAAGTGCCAACTTCTTGACATGTGGCCTGGCACTCAACAGCACTCCCCATGGCCGCTTCTTCGTGGGCATGCAGAGTGGCGGCCCTCACTGCAAGCTCCCTCTCACAAGATTCTGTGGCCTCCATTGGCTCTGCAGTAGGGTCTGGGCAGCTGGTATACTCGGTGAGGTCTCCAGTGAGCTTGCCACAGGCTGGCTGAGGAGCAGAGCTGCTCTCCTCAGGAAATGCTCCCATGTTTACTGTGGGGGCCTCAGCCTCTGGAGGAGGAGACGGGGCTTCCCTCTGACTGACTTCACTTTCTTCATGACTATCCTCCTGTGGGGCAGCTGCCTTACTGGCTTCTGTGCTGATTTGGGTTTTTTCCTCTTCTTTTTCATTTTCTTGGAGAACCAGTGTCTCTTCATCTGTGTCTTTTTCAATCACCACAGCAGACTCCACTGGCACTTCCCCAGTCACCACTAACAATTCTCTGAGTTCCTTCAAGGATTTTGAGGCAGAAGTGGATTCTGGCTTTTCACAGAGGGGCTCCTCATCCTCAGCGGTTCCTTGCAATTCTGGCTCTGATGAACACACGCCCACAGTATCTTCCACATGCTCTGCGGCCACAGGAGTCACAGCAGGGTCCTCTGTGCTTGAGATAGTCACCTGCTCATCCTCAACCAGGGCAGAGCTGGGCTGGGTGCGAGAAAGGTTTTCCTGTTTGGCCAATAAACTGGGATCTCCAGGCTGCTTCTTTTCCTCTGACTCCGGGAACACTTCATTACTCGGGTTCTCACTATCTAGAGCTCCAGGCAGAATGGCAGACACTGTTCTGGCAGGACTGGCCTGGTTTGATCCTATGATGGGTTTCAGATCTGTTAAACTGGACACACTTTCACTAGGCAAAGCCATGTTGTCTTCAAATAAGTTGTGTTTCTTCAAGACAGCAGCCTCCTTTATCACTGAAAAATACAAGAAGAAAAAACTTGACAATAAGACTGCCTAAACAAGCTGGACTTGCCGATTTTATCCAGAAACCAAACTCCCATCAGCCCTTTCTGGCTATCCAAATTCTCAACTTCACAATCCAGCATATGTCCACCCTCTTCCAGGCAGCCTTCTCTGATGACCAGAGACTGCACACTCTTTCCAGACTGAACCTCGGAAGGTTCATTCCTGCATTTATTCAAACAGCATACATTTGCTAGGCATCTAATATAGGACTGAACCTGACAAGCCTGAGGTGAATATAAAAGGTGCCTTTGCTTTCAAAGTCTGTAACAATACCATGCATACCACTCAGAGAGGCCCCCTATGCCGTTTAATTAGCTGCCAACACATGCAGTTCCATTTGTTCACCTAGATTGGAACACATTTAGGACAGGGGCTGGCATTTTACTTTTCTATTCTTTCTCACCACACAGTCTTGAGTATGTAATAGGTTCTCAGTCCTAAAGACGCAGCTGAAAGAGGGTTGGCAGCCTAGGTACATCTACCTTGGCCTCACAGGCCTTAAGAACTGCAAAGACAGTAACACCAAAAACAGCTGATGTTTTTAACAACAGGCCTCTGGCGCCCAACAATACACATCCTAGGCAATGCCATTCATATCAGAGACAACATGGATCTGGGTGTGTAGAGCATAATCTTTTAGCAGCTGGCAGTAGATTTTCCTGCTCTAACAAAATCAACACATTATACAGTTTTCTCACAGAGAGCAAAGGGGGAGAAGTCTGCGAATTTACCAGAGGTATTCACAGTGGGCTGGCCATGCTTTGCCCTAGCCCCTCTTTGTGCAGATGGCATGATGGCCCTGCTGCGTTCCCTGCCCCTTGGATCTCTGAGGGCAGCTATGTCAAGTGGAGCCTGCACTTGGACGGTTTTCCCTAGGGAGGCCTTTGGGTCATACACAAGACCTCCTCCATGGAGACCAGATAGGTTTCAGGTCCAGCACTTGATGGTGCCCCTCTTCAGCATATTTTTACCAAACTTTTTCCTATTCTCGATCCAATCCCAGACAAGCTCAGATTATATAGCACCCTGGGTGGGTGTTACTGTTCCAAAAAGACCCAGAGGGCACTGTGTTATCCCAGACATTCTCTGTCTGGCCAAGTGGAGGAGAGGAATTTGCTGAGAGAGCAGAGTCCATGCCTTGCTAAGGACATTTCTGCCCTACCCTGGGTGGGGTTATTGCCTGTGCAAAAAGCTCTTTCTCCTTCCTAAAAGCTCTTTCTCCTTAGTTCTGTCTCACACAGTGCAAGATGACAGCCTTACAGAAGACACCTTATTTTTTTTTCAAAATAAAATAATTAAAAAAAAAAAAAAACCAGCTTAGGCCTTTTTACCAAGATAGGGCTGAAGGCAAAGAAGGAAGTCCCTGGCCCTCCCAAAGCTGAAGCTTTGAAGGTCAAGAAGGCCATGTTGAAAGGCATCCACAGCCACAAAAAGATACAAACGTCGCCCACCTTCCACCTTCTCTAGACACTGCAGCTCTGGAGGCAGCTCAAGTACCCTCGGAAGAGTGTCCCCAGGAGAAACAAGCTTGACCACTATGCCATCATCAAGTTCCCCCTGACTACAGAGTCAGCCATGAAAAAGATCGAGGACAACAATACACTCGTGTTCATTGTGGACGTCAAAGCCAATAAGTACCAAATTAAACAAGCTGTAAAGAAGCTCTATGACCTTGATATTGCCAAGGTCAATACCCTAATTGGGCCTGATGGAGAGAAGAAGAAATATATTTGCCTGGCCCCCAATTATAATACATTGGATGTGGCCAACAAAATTGGGATCATCAAAAAGGAGCTTAACATTCCCATCCCCAATTTTGCACTGGCATTAAAAGGAGTAACATCTAAAGTACCAGCAGGGTATGTACCAAACCACAAATGTCCAATCAAGGCTGGCATCTTTCCTTCTTCTCTTTCCTCTCCTAGATCTTTCCCTGAACACCAAGGCCAACTTCCTCTTTCCTTTTCTTATGCCATGGACTTCCAGATTCCACGTCAAGGTGCTCCCTCCATGGGGAGTCCCTCCATCACCAGGTAAACCCTTCTTACCTTTCAAAGTCTCGTCCAGGAGAAGCTGATGTAAAATCTCTTCATAGACATTTTCAACTTGGATCATGTTGGTATGATCTGCAAAAATGAACTGCTCATATTTCTGAAGCTCCTGGAGAGCAAGAGACAAGAAGATAAAGAGGAAAAGGCATGAGATGCCTGTTCTCAGAGGAGACAGGGAAAGGACAATTCCCACTGGCGGTCTCCTCCTGTCATGGTTTGTGCTCGGTCATCCCCGCAAAGCCTCATGCAGCGATGGGGTGGCTTCTAGTGTTTGTGATTAATTCATGATCCAGTGCAGGAATTATGGGTGTGAGTGCTACATGCACCATGGGGCAGACGGCCTGCATACAACGTGGGGAGAGGAGAGAGGCTTGGCACCTCTGCAGCTGCTGCTCCTCCCTTTGCTCTTTGCTGTTTTCCACCGCCATGAACTGCTGCCCTCTGCAATGTGCCACGCTGCCTTGGAGCCAGCCAAGTATGGACTGAAACCTCCACAAATTGTGAGCTAAATAAACCTTTCCTTCCTTGATTTTGGGTGTAGGGTACTTTGTCCCAGCAATGAGAGAAAAGAACTAAGACACTTTCTCAAAGAGTAAGGGACAAGGGCAAAGTTGGTCCCTAGGCCACAGATGCTGAAATAAGTCAGCTTAGCAATCTTTAATCACTCTGCTAAGAATACATACGACCTTGACATATGTATTAGCTGGTCATCATAAGGTGACACTTGGCGCCTGGTGCTTCCCCTCCCCTCCCTTGCACTAGACACACATCACATGCATTGGAAGGAAGAAGACAGAAGACACTTAAGATAATCAGGTGTCTTTTCAGTAGGTCTGAGGCCCTTTCTCCCAGCACAGCCAAAGTGTTTCCTTTTTTAAAAAATTTAATGCCAAAGTACTTCAACAAGTTAGGAGTTACATCCAGTAAAACATACAGGTTGTTAAGGAACAGTTCAATGATGCTTAATTCGTAATGATATCCATGGAACCATAACCCAGTCCAAGATGGACACTTACATCACCCCCAAGACACCCCCACACTCCCTTCCAGCCCACAGCCCTCTGAGAGGTAGGCAGCAACCTGACAGCTCATGATAGATGAGCTTTTGCTTAGTCACGAGCTTCAGAGAAATGAATTGGATTCTTTTGTCTTTAATTTTCAGACTTTTCCTAGCTAAGACATATATTAGTAGCTCTCTTCTTTTTTATTGATAAATAGCATTTGATACATGAATAAATCAAAATCGTTTTTGCACACTCAGACTTTTCTACTTGACCAGCATATCTATTATGAACATGTTTAGAGAAGTCTTTCATTTTTACTTAAGGACTTACTTATCTAGCGTGTATGCCTAGAAGTGAGGAGGCTGAATCTTGGGGTAGATGCATGTTTAACCTTATTAGAATGTGGTCCGATTGGAAAGTCTATAGTCAAGTACTCTTGTGGGAGGCTCAATAACTCCAGGCCTCCAATCCTATTGCAAGTGGGTTTCCGGGTTCCTGTGAAACTGCCACATCATGACTGTGCGCCACGAATCCCTTAATGGTCACCTGAGTGCCTCTGACCTATAAAATTCTCTTGGTGCATCAGCGTCATTAGTGACGCTGACTTCCTCCTCCCCTACCTCTGCTGAGCTAAGTTCCTCGTTCTTTTCACCCCGCCTATTTCCCATAAGTCTCCTGCTATGCCCCGGAGGTGGAACTTCCTGTCATAGCCCGGTTGCCTAGTTACTCGCACCTTTTTACCGGCCGACGTCATTTCCCTATGCCTCCACTATATATACTCAGAGTTTCCTTTGAATAAACAGACTTGATCAGAATCCTGTCTTGTCTCCATTTCTCACGTCTCCTGTCCTTTGTCCCCTCCTCAATTCCCCACTCCTCTCCCAGGTGACCTTCGTTGACTGACCCGCTGGCACGGGACATACTCTTATATAACATTTTCTTCTTTCCCTCTGACAATGGCACTCCCTGATTTCTTATAAGAAGACCAAGTATACTGCAAAACCACTTAGCCAAAAACAAAAACAAAAAAAAAAAAAACACTTAGCCTTCTCTGCTTCCAAGAATTTGCAAATGATTTGCCTGTTAACAGCATAACAGGGCTGGGATTGGAATGTATCACATCATATCTGAAGGTTAACCCAGTCATCCTTGCACCTAATAGTGCTGGGAGAAGGCTCCCACATGTGGCTTTTAGAGAAGCAGGAACTTAGCAGTGAGACTTGATTCCTTTTATCAAATGGACAGGTTTTCTAGTAGGTGATCAGAAGTTACCACACTCAGCTAACTTTATTTATTTATTTATTTATTTTCTGGAACCAGGGATTGAACTCAGACCCTTGCGCTTACCAGGGAAGCGCTTATTCCACTAAGCCATCTCCTGGCCCCTTCAGATAACTTTCAATGCTAAGACTTAAAGTGCTGTGAGCCCGGATTGTATTATATTACCAGAAGGTAATAATAGGATCCCTTTATACCCACTGAAGAAAGCAAAAGGTCTTAACAGACATGAGCCATGATGAGCTCTAGAGGGTTTATGAGACAGGACTGATGTATAGATACTTCTCAGGAGATGACACCACTCAGGACTCTCCAGGGGACCCTGCAGAAGCACGTCACTGCTCTGAACCTCTGACTTTTTCCCTGTTAAATGTGGTGCACAGGTTCATGCCTGGAACATCCTCTCTTCTTCCCTTCCTGGTCCTTGTTCCCTTGACTGAGGTTTAATCCCTTAAGTTTGGATGAAAGCTTAACCCTCAAGAGTTCTATCTGATCCCACACATGGAGTTGGGCACTCTCCCTTGAACTCCTGTGTGCCCATCCTCTGCCCCTACACTGCAAACTCTAGAGTGGATGTGGGCTGGCGCAGTGCCTCCTCGATGGTGTAGATACATTTTAATACATGTTTCAGAATAGAGGCCCTTGAAATTTTCTACCAGCTAAAGAATCTGCAGGAAGGACTAATTAAGGGACATTTACACTGTTGTGCTATGCCCAGTTTTACAAACCAGGTCTTCTATGTTGATCCAATGAACTGTGTCATATGCTTAGTTCTCCAAATCAATTAAATGGGGATCGTGAGCGTGAATCTTGAGACTCCACTCAGCCTCCAGCTTGTGCTCAGCCAGCACTCTGCCCTGCAGGCTACGACACACCTTCATAATCATGGGTCTGTATGCCTGCTTCTTGCAGCACCTTCAAATAGTGCTGTTAGTTTCAGTAAACAAACCCTATTGGATATAAGAGAACAAGTATCGCTCTGTAGTCCTGTTACTTGAAATCTTTCCATATGTAAGGTCAAGTGTCAGGAGAGGATGGAGGAGTCACACTATATTGGTGAACGCCTGGTCTCATCTGGTGCTCTATGCCAACCATTAGGTTGGCTCCAGTTCAGACCATTACCCTGTGAGACATCCTCTGGTCCAGGCCATGGAAGCTTCTCGAAGCTTCTTGTTTTTGTAAGTAAAGTTTATTGGATGTTATTGTCTGTGTATCATATCTGCCTGCTTTCTTTTTTGTAACAGTGAAGTCGAGCAATTGAAACAGGAGCAACCATGCTCTTACCGGTTTGCATGTGGACGCCAGGGCCTTCTGCATAGTGGGAAGCGTGATTTGCACCAGTGCCTCCTGAAAGATCTTCTTCCGGATAGTACTGCTGTCATAATCGTATTGCTGTCAATAGAGAAGCATTTGCTAAATAGTGGCATTAAAATCCATCAATATTTGCTTGAACAAAAACCCCAGCCACCCGAGTCATCTCCTCCCTCCTCATTTCTGAAGTCTTGCAGAGACCTCAGAGACCTCAGAGGTCTTTCTGGCTAAGTCCTGCTCACTCCAGTGGTAGGCTGTGATGTAATGACCCATCTCTCCCCTCCCACAGATATGGAAACTGAGGCAAGATGAAACTAGTGAGGTTGCTTTCTCCCTCTCCTCCGACCTGCTGAAACACCTGGCAGTGGTGCTATCTTTTCTTTCAGCTCAACTGCTCGTGCATGATTACTTATGTGAACATAATCAATTTTCTTTTTGTCTCAGTGATGTGTTTATCAGGGTTCTGCCTAGGTGTGAGGTATCAAGATGAGTGTGAAATTCAGGAACAACCCTAGGCTTTGTAGGAATTTGACCTTCCGTTCCAAACCATTACTTAGGTTAAGCAGGAGGCAGTAAAAATATTAGCAGACTAGACTGAAGACAGCTTTAGCTCTAAGATCACCGTGACTAGCCTGTTAAGCCTGAATACACTTTTTTAGAAGGTCCATTTCCTCATTGGGATATATTCTAATCATCTCACAAGTTCTTGGGATGATCAAATGAAACTTGGTAGGCTTTAACATTTTTTTTAATATACCAATATGTGCAATGACTTATTATAGCACTATTTAAATATGCACTTACACATGATGTGCAGTACACTATTTCATATGGCAGGCATGTTTTCTTTGGGTTATTTCCTCTGCCTTGGTAATTTAATTTTTTTCTTAATATATTGACAGTTTAGTTTTCTTATACTGCAGACTCTTTGAGGAGAGAGGCTGTGCCTTGGTTATTTTTATAGGGAAAGCAATCCTCGTCTTAGTGCTTGTAATACACAGCCAGTAAAAGTTTGTCAAGTCAAATTGCTGTGAAAGTAAATGGGCTCTGTCCTCCCTAATGTAGGCAAACGTTAAGAAACTGTGGTCCCTACAGCAGCCACTAGGTGGCAGGACAGGCATGAAAGTCAGGCGGGGAACCGGCTACAAGGTGAAGTCACTTGAGACTCGGAGGCCCAATGAGAGGGCGGAGGGTATTCTGTGCTCATCAAAACAAGCAGAGGTCACGTTCTCGTTTGATGCCTCCCATAGACAGGCTTACCTTTAGGACTCGGAGCTTCACCTTCTCCAGGGCGGCCGCAGTCCTGGAGGCCTCTCCTTGGAGATGTGGGAAGAGCAACTGCTCAAAAGTGAACACCGCGTTCTCCATTAGCTGGAAACCAAACACACAGGACACCCGCACCGTCAGCTTCACCTCCCTCAGATGAGCTACCACATCCCAGGCTCTGCTCTGGGGGCCACACAGGGTGACAGGTCCTCCTCCCACGGCCCTGGATCGTGAAACTAACAACCCTGTGGTCACCATGGGCTCCCTAGGAGGTCAGGAAACACCGGCCACACACAGGTGTGTCTGTCAGCACGGCACGCATGCAGTCTCTTTCTCCTAAAGAAGACATCGTTCTTTGCGGCCCTTCCCCTCCTCCACCCTCCAGGACCGCAGCCCCAGATTAAATGGGGTATCCATTCCTCCAGGCTGGTTATTACCAAAGGAACTGCTGATAAACTGCTGCCCAGGTTTGCTCTTTGTTCAACTCAGTGTCTTATAATTCAGAGGTTGGGTCATAAGATACATTGCTTTATACTACCATAACTTTTAAAGACAACAAAAAACACTTCTTTCTTTCCAAACCTGAGGCCAATCCCAAAGTATTCACACCAACCTTTATTCATTGCAATGAATTAAGAATTTGTTTCTGTATTGATCCCAGGGGTTGCTCAGGCAGTGCCCAGCCTCCAGTGAGCCCCCCTAGAGCATCTGTGGTCAAATCAGAGAGTGTGCTTTACTTATGAGACACTCTAACATTGCATGCGATTCCTGCTCCCCATGAAAAGACCCCTTGGGGAGAAGCAATTTATTGAGAGAACTCGAATTCAAATTGGAAACTGGGATAGATTGATGAATTGGGCGATTTATTTATTTATTTTTGTACTGGGACTTGAACTCAGGACCCTGCTCTTGCCAGGCAGGTGCTTATGCTGCTGAGCTATCTCCACAGCCCTGATTGGGTGGTTTTTAACTAGGTTAGGGAATTACAGTAATTGAAGCCAAAGGTTCTCAATACTGGCTGCAGATCCAGAAGCAGAAGGAATGGAGTAGGGGGAAATGTTTTAAATTCTGGAATCAGAGATCATCGTAGTAAGTGAAATATTTCAGATTCAGAAAGACAAATATCACATTTTCTCTCAAATGTGGAAACTTTTAAAAATGGGAGGTGGCGTGAAAATAAAAGGAGGAGTATTTGAGAAGGGGACAAAGGAGAGGTAAAGGGCAGGGGGGGTGAGACAGTGAACATTATGTAAGTTATATACATACACGAATCAGCGAATACAAAACCCACTCATAACCAAGAGGCACTGATAAGAACAAAATACAAATATGCATATATACAGAGAGAGAGAGAGAGAGAGAGAGAGAGAGAGAGAGAGAGAGAGAGAGATTCAGTCACTGGGAATGAGGTATAAGCATCAGTATGTCTTAAAAATTCCCCAGGTGTTTCCAATGTGCAGCTAAGCACTGACTTGTTAATTAAATAATTATTGATCAGTGCCACTTTATTTATCTGAGGCATTTCCTCCCTGTGATGTTTATCAACATGGAAGAAAGATGAAGCCAGCTGGAAGGGCAGGGCGTATCCTCAGTCAACACAACCAGGGAAAGGGGTCTCACTTCCCCAAATTGCCCAGGAAGCAGCCGATCCGCAGTGTGGGGCCCCACCCGTGCCGCACCCGCATCCGCTCCCACACACACGCCCTGCAGCTCCCACCTCCTGCATGTAGTTCTGTGTCCTCTGGACCACCAGGTCCACGTGTGGGAATCTGAAGCGGCTCTTGAGATCCTGCAGGTGCTCCTGAAGCAGGTTGACCTTAGTGTAGCAAGGCTCCATCTTCACAGAATCTAGTGGCAGATTCATAAGCTGATCTAGGTGCTACAATATGATCAAGGGGAAAAATAAATACCTCAGATTTAGAACCCATATTTCATTTATACAGTACATGATACCAATGTTGCATGTATTAAAATCACCACTGGGCCCACTACACCTGCAACATCTTCAGGTGGGCTATGTGTCTTCTTCAGTGGGTCAGAGAGGCAGCTCCAGGGCAGTGATAGAAACCATGGAAGAACCGGCCAGGGGACGGGAAGACCCAGGGCGCAGCAGGTGTAGAGGCATCCAGCTGTAAGTGCCCAGTGGACTCGGAGCTCCTGCTTCGGAGCTCACACAGTAGCATGGAACTGCTGCTGGACCCTCAGGCCTCCAAAGCTTTCTTTAAAGAGTGACATCCCTCCCGATCAACCCTGAGGAGGTTAGGAGGCTCCCTGGATGCCTACACTCTGGGCAAAAAAGCCAAGGCTCCCCACTATTCAGAGGTTGTCAGCGCATGCAAGGTCTCCGTCCATCTACTGCAGGCTGCCCCACGGTGCTAGGAGATGGCAAGGCAGGTGAGGAAGAGGCCTGAGGACTAAAAAGTCAGGTCCCTTCCCCACTCAGTTTAGACAACTGATAACTTAATCAGCAAGGGCACAGGGCCTCCCACGGCAGACCAGCTGCCAAAGCTGTGCTATCAGTAGACTCTAACACGACGAATGTTGTTGCAACAGAAGATGTGGAGTTTTCTATGTTTATTTTCTGCTATTTTTAAAGCATGGAATATTGGGGGGTTATTATAAAAAGGAGAGTAGGTAAAGAAGGAGCAGACAACATTCCCGAGAATGGAAGCTCCATGGAGAGCTGGAAGAAAGGCTTGGGGAATGAGAATAATATGTGCTGTCAGACAGGAATGTCAAAAGGGCCTGCAGCCTTGTACTTTATTTTTTTATTTTTGTTTTTTTTCTATAATTTTATTGAGAAACAAATAGCCATGAGACAGTTTCAAACCAAATTGGTAGAACAGTTTCAATAATTAACACATTGCATACATTCTTCCTAGTGGTTAATTGCTGTACAAGATGTGGACATGATATCCTATTTACAAACACCATTAGAACAAATCCCTCTATTCATTAAGAGAATATAACTATATATCTAAAGTGGTTAGGATATATCTATCCTAACCACTTTGAATACAGAGATACAAAATGGACATTCATCTGTATCCCCTTTTTTTGTTAAGTTCTGTCATTAAATATTATAGGTATGTAAACTCAGCAAAATATTCTAAAAGAGTCCAGTAGTCCATAATAGTATTGTGTCTTCCGCTTCACTGGCAATGTCAGAAATTGTTGACCTGCATCCCCTATAGCTCAACATAACTTTACTTCTTATACTTCGTTTTTATACTTTTCTGCTGGATGGTTAAGACCAAGGTAAAGCAGGACCTATGCAACAAGAGTTGTAGCTTTTGGGTCTGATAAGGTCAGTGAAATCCCCTCAGGATTTATCCTGAGATCCTGTACCTCAGATTGTAGAACCTTTGTCAGTGTCAGCCATGTGGATAAGCAGCCTTGTACTTTAAAGGGGAAAGCTATTCCTGTAAAGGAGTAAATTACAGAGCTGGCCAGATAGCTTAGCAGACTAAAGCGCCTGCTTAGGCAGGCGATGGGACCCAGGTTTGATCCCCAGTGTGCTGTGCTGGCCCCGCCTCCGGGGCTTGCTGAGTTGGTGATTGAGACTGGGTGTGGTGGCACCTGCCTGTAATCCCAGCTCTTGGGAGGCTGAAAAACAGGAGGATCACTACAAGTGCAATCTGTGTAGTGAGACCCTGTACTAAATACGTTTTAAAAAAGGGGTAAATTATGGAGGGATCCAAAGAAATGAAATCAATGATAAAAATCACACTGCAGAGTGCTCTTCTTGTACAATAAGGACTGTGTCATTTAAAAACTGAATTGAGCAGGCAGGACAGGAAAACTGGGCTGTCACTTTGCCCCTATCCGCTTGTCAAATTCTAACACACATCACAATGGTGATGAGGAGAAAGTCCCTAGCCATGCACAAGGAGGACAATACAAAACTTAAATGCTTTTTTCGGAATGGAATAAAAATATTTGTTAATATGAGGACTGTACTTTTCAATGTAAGACTCTATCCCATAGGAATGAAACCCCTGGAGCCTAAGGGTCTATGTGCAAGGCTATTTATTTCAGCTTTGTTTTTGGTGCCAGCCATAGTGGGATGGTTGAACAAATCATGTTTCCATACATGAGATAATACGGAGCCATCACAAAGAATGATTTAGAGCCAAAACACTTAACTTGGAAATAGTCTCATCAAGTAGTTTTGAAAAACTTATAGGGCCGGCTAAATAGCTCAGCGGATTACAGCACCTGCAAGCAGGCACAGGGGTTAGGGGTTCAATCCCCAGGCCTGCCATGCTGGCCCCACCCCCAGGGCAGGGCGAGCTGAGACAGCAATTGAGACTGGGTGTGGTGGCGCACATGCCTATAAACCCAGCTCTTGGGAGGCTGTTAATAGGAGAATCACTCCGAGTCCGATCTAGTAATGAGACCCTGAACACCCTGTAGACCCTTCCCTAAAATACAAAATAAATAAATAAAAAGGAAAACTTAGAGACAGAA